TACTTTCAGGAACAGCAAAATTTTGATACTGATTTGTCTATTTTATGCCTATATGTAATAAACGGGTTCAACTGCTAAAAATAGCTTTCTTAGGAAATCCGAATCATAATGATATAATGTATTGATATGACAATTAATATATACAGTGGTAATCAGATCTTCATGTAAGAACTAAGTAGATCTGAACTTTCTTCAATGTGTGTTAAATTACCTGAACATTTTGTTTACGATACAAAAACTAACTCAGGATATTCTTTTTATTAAACTTCATTAGGTGGACCACAAATGATTTTTTAAATGTTTAAAGTGACCAAATTTGTCAATTTGCTTAATTTCTCTTGGTAGTGTATTACATTATTAATTTATAGCACTGTAATAAAATTTTACATTTTCCTTCCTAAAGGAATGATATGTGATAAGAATTGTTTACATAAAATTTAGACTGCAAAAAAAACTTGTGTGTGTTTGGGTTTGTTTACCCTCGCCACCGGAAAGAGACCATATGGGCGAGCATATACTTCATTTATAACCTTTTAAAAAGGGGGAGCTGATGTTTAATTACTTATTGTTATATCCGTACATGTGTTTATGTGCATACCATATCCCCCATGACAGGGTAGTCTCTACGTACAACCTCTGCCATGGGAGGAAGATGGGGCAATCCCATACTAAGATTAAGAATTCTAAAATTAAATTATTAAAAAGCACTTATTTTAAAATTGGCCAAGACGTTTATAGTAGTTACTGTCTTTTATAACAGGTCTATCTAATATTTAGTATAACTATAAAAATTTTAAAATATTACCTATAATTGTAGAGTTCGCATACTTGCGAAGAAGGCATGTCAGGAACGTATTCTGACCAATTCATTGTGGGCTGACTGTTATTTATGTTGGTTTCTATTTAAATGTTATAAACCGTATACATTGGGATGCATATAATTAATTACATGTTTGTAATTAGCAGACTTTGTTTTAAATTTTGTAAATTTTGTAAGTTCTACCGAACACCCGCTTTATAAAGTTAATTTTGATTGGTTTAGAGAGGATTGCCTCCTTTGTTCTCATTGGCCGAAAATTCTCTGTTTACAAAATAAGGAGGTCAATCCGATTTTCTTGAAAATTCTGCAAGTTTTGTATTGACCTATTTCGACAAGTTTGTCGCGCGGACTGGATAGAAATTTTGCGGGTGCCCGTTGCATCCAATGTATACGTGTTTTTACCAACTTTATTTCAAGATTAAAACAAATATGATAGTTAAAATGTGGTGGAAATGGCCTTATCTATTTATCACTGTCTCATGGTCTATAAATTATTATGCATCTAGATATCACACATAATAATTAATCTTCTATTACTTAAACAATTCATAGAAGAATAAGAAAAAATCTAAGTCCCAAATATGGCTAATAATAATAACTTGGTTACCCATAATGTGATGAGATAGTCTTTATGTAACATATTTAAGAAAATCTCATGCTTGAGTGAACCCGTGATAAACGTATTGCTCCATATGGGGGCACGGGTTCACGTTTACTAGTATTAAGGATACTAGTTTATATATACAAGAATAAAAAAAAATAGATAATAAATAACACGGGGCGGGGGGCAAAGGGATATATACAATATGGAGTCTTTTTGACATTATGGGTAATCTGTAGCCAGCACCTCCCAATTTTGATAATAACCATGAGACTGTATGGTTAAAATAGTCTAGTGCACAGCCTATTTAAGAAATTATTCAATTAAAATTACATAGCAATAAAATTACAAAATAAATAAATAAATAAACTTCTCACTAGCACCGTTTCACGGCCACTTATTAGGGCCACTTTTTAAAAATAAACACATAAAATAGGTTATGTACACTTTATACAAAGGCTGTGCACTGACTCAAAAATTTAAAACATAAAATATTTGTCAAAACTAACATACAGTATACTATACTGTAGTATATAGCTTAGGCAACTACCCCTCGCGTATTGTTTATATGTTCGCGTCTTAACCTAATACATCAAAAAAGTTTTGTCTAGTTAGACTACCTAGTATTTATCTTATAAAGTTTCATTTTACGGCATTGATTATATTTTAATACATTCGCCTTTTTGCCGGAGAAAATGTGAGCTCGCGGACCACGCACTGATAGATCACTCAAACCTTCTTCAGAATCGGATAGATGGACCAACCACCACATATAATGATGTTAAACGAGACGAAAAGTATTTTAAATTTACGAAAATAGAAGAGAATAAACCTTTTACTGTACACGATAATTGTGACCAATCATATTGTTGTATTTCTGTTAATTTGAGAATACTTCAATTTCATTGGTTGTTGGAAAATACCATAGAAGAAAATATGAAAAATTTCCTTCGCGAATACCTTAATTAATGAGCCCATAATTTTAAAAAAAACACAAAATACAATTTTTTAAATAAATGCTAAAGATATTGTTTTCCAATATTGATACCTCTAATTATCCATGTTATTTTTTTATTAACTTAATCAGACCAATTAAGTATCATGCCAATTACATGTACATTAACCACCGGTTATTTTCTAATGACTATAATTAAAATCCTTAATTATCATACACATTTTCTTAATTATAATAATCAATAACTTTAATTAACACCTTTACAATTATTTGAAGTTTCTTTGATGAGAGAAAGATCAAAGTGGTAATTATCATACTGATATAAGATGTGGTCAAATAATTAAAACCAAACTGATAAAGATAATTAAATGATAATTATATGTCCATGAAACAATAAGATGTCTCCAGCTATAAATATTCTTGGTAATCTGTCCCAAGCCATCATATTATAAACACAAGCCAAAGAAATAACTACATCCAAGCTGTATTACAACAAAAACATGGATATTATCTCAGCTGCCAAAACTCTCCAACAACAACTGGTTGCCCTTAACAACAGTGACTTAATCATTTCACTTTTAGGTAATACATTCATTTTTTTATTCTTTTTGGAAAAGAGCCTTTATATATTTCACTCTTATCATGTCAATGAAGCATTTCATAGCCTTGTTCTTTATCTATTTGTTACCAGTTTATTACTTAAAATACTGCATATTTTACAGCAAAAAAGACAGTGTATTTGTTATATCTTTTATCAATGACAATAAAGATTTTAATATTTTTCTTTATTATTGCAGATGGCCAGCTAGAAAATCTAGGATGCCAGTCTATGATGTCAAGTATAGCAGAGAACCAGTCTCACCATTTACGTCTGCTGCTGCGTGTATCAGTCACAGAAGGTGTATGTAACATGTACCAGCATTACTCCAGTGACAAATGGGCTCAGGTATACATGCTTTCTTTCATTCTATTATCACAAGTTTAATATACCAATTGATATATTCATAATTTATATGAAGTAAACAGGATTTCAGAGCATAAATTCTATATTTGTGTAATTCTATTATCACAAGTTATAGCAATTGTTATATTTATCATTTACATGAAGATACTGGTATTTCAGAGCTAAATTTGTATTTGTTCAATCTGTCTTGGAAAGAACATCGAAAATAAGCTTTAAGCCCTTGTGTCCGTTCAATTTCTTCATTGTTTCATTTATCATCAAGATAAATATCGAGATAAAATTTATCATCATCATAACAATGTTCATATATTTTTTTCAATCCTTATTTCAGGTTCAGAACACAGCTAGAACAATCAAGTCAACAATTGAGGCCGATAGTGAGCAGCAGACGACATCAGTGATTACAACAAATACAAGAATTTCTGGTACAGATAAAGCAGCAGAAGAATGGACCAGTGTCATGTGTGAGCTGTCTAGACATGAATGACAATTGTTAATTTTATCATGAACTTTGTGCTGAATGTTACTGAAAATATGTGCTATTTTGTTGTATTGTTATTGAGTAAATAAAGTATGATAAAAACATACATTGCATTTTCTCTTTCTTTCATATGAAGTCTAGTTTATAATGTCTCATGTACAAGAATGTACATACGATGATGCAAATGTAACACAAATCAGGGATTTTTCCAGGATTTGGGGAACATGACACATACCCATGGAATTGGGAATTTCAGCGATGTTTTGTTAAAAACTGGGAAAAATGCATGACTTTGCGGTGATATAATAAAGCATCACTGTCTAGGATGGCATCCATTCAAGCACCATAACAGTGAAAAAGCCCTGATTTGCAAAGATTTTAAGAGTTTTCATTCAATATTTTCATTTTGTAACTTTCAATTGGGAACTTTTTCCTGTGGATTGGGAAAACAATACTATTTTCAAAAAGACCATGTAGTTGTTAGTACATTTGTAACATCAATGTAGGACACATTAAATGTATGTAAGAATGAATTTAGGATTCACAACGAAAGTGACCTAAAAGTGACTTGCACCAATTGGGAATCTAATCTAACTAGGGTCGCACAATTCACAGTCCAGTTAGCACTGGACTGTACAATAATTGTTGATGGTATATATTTTAGGCAGTTATAACTGCCTGTCTAGAGAAACTTGAAGAAAAAAGAATACCTTTCATAATATTGTCAACCTTCACAGTTTTTTGTGCATTTATATAGAATGAAGAAAAATACAATTCACAAAGTAAAACAAATTTTAGAAAGAGGTTTTAGTTTTAATAGATATCATCGATAAGGCTCCAATGTTTACATTTATTTGTAAACGTTTACATGATTATTAAGAACAGAAACGATACCGTGGTAACAGTGGTACTTCTATGTCCTATATATTGAATTCCAGTAGCCAAATGACGACTTGCTGTCTAATTTTAATACATTAAAGTAGATTTATTATTTTGTGAAAATTTTTCTGTATCATCACTTTATTTTACTTCCAGTAATTTGTTTCATTTTAATCAATTAACAAACACCTTTTTACCTATAGCAAACAGAACACCTGGTTACAATTCTATGGTATTTGGGTATGTACTCTAAATACAAAATAGGGCACTTGGACTTTGATTAATTTAGAATAGACTTACTGTGTATTTGGCACAACTTCCCACGATGTTGGACTGTAAAGTTGACAGGAAAACTTCTGTGCTGTTGGATAGACAAATCTCTCATCTGAAAATGGCAACAAAAAATCTGTCATTTTTGAGTCTAAACCACATTACAATGATAGTAACAAATTACCAAATCTATCCTAAACATCATAATTATGTTTTCATTTCACATTTACCTGATACATGTATTGAATAAGAAATATATTGCATTTCTCTAAATAAAAAGTATTAAATTATGGCTTAAATACAAAGTTGATGCAAAAGTTCAATTATTTGTTACAGAATATCCATAAATAGTTACGTTAAATCTTAGGTGTGGAAATGCTTTTTCAGCACGGTATTTTCATTAATTTTATTCTATACCTTTTTCAAAGACATCAAATTCTCTTTCTTCTGATGTAACTTTGGGCAATTTGTTGCCAATATCAGGTGTATGCATGACTACAGCATAAGTCTGAAATAAAAATGAAATTTCAAGGATCAAATATTTATAATGCCAAAATGACCAAGATATTACTTGCTATAGACAATAATAAAGTACAGCCTTGCTGTAGAAGAATCAAGTCAATACTCAGCAGCTATCTCCAAAGAATTAAAATAGCAATATTTAACAATTATCAAAGTGGTCTTGTAAATGGAATAAATTAGAATATAATCAATAAACAATGGTATATTATTCAAAAATACAAAAAATTACCCTGTAGAACTTGAAAAAAGCACCTTTATATTTTAAGTTTCAGACTTATCTTTCTTAAGGACATACTGCTTACTTGAATAAATATACATTTACAGCCATTTTCAGCTACAGATAAAAGAAAAGAATTGACAGCTGTGTTTGCCTTACCTTGCTGTCTGTATGATAAATGATAAAATGAGGTGTACATCTTAATGGAACTTTACGTATAGGCCATGGAGCATCATATGTTAAATGAGTTGGTAATACTGAAATTCGTAGTTCTCCCTGAAAACAAAACAAAACCAAAATAATTTGAATAATAAAACAAATTGACAATTTTAATTATAATATACATGAAAAGATACCAAGATTAATATCCTTTCTGATATGTTATACATTCAAAATGACAAGTAGTTGAACACAAATCTAATTTATATGCTAGGATACAATTGTAAGTGTGCCTCCTGTACTTAAGAAAAGCCATCTAAGGTTCAAATATTGTGCACACAAATAAATAGATATCAAAACAAGAGCTATCAATAGGACAGTGTGCTCAACTATTATCAGTGCTTAATGGCAAAACATGAGTCTGGCTAATGTAGAATATTTCAAGTTAAACTAGAACTCCGCGAGTCGGATGTGTCGCCTTGTGAACAATGTAGTTTAGGAGAAATAGCCAGGACAAAAATGAAATATGCAATAACTAAAAAAATAATAAGTGCAGAGCAGCAGTTTCTGTGCACTGCACTTCTTATCAATAAGATCTATCATTCTATGATGTTTTAAGTCCATAGCTTTCATACTTGAGGAGAAATGACCAGGACAAAAATAAAGTTAGAAAATCAACAAAGGGCAATAACTCAAAAAATAAGAAATGCAGAGTATCAGTTCTTATGCACTGCACTTTTTCTTAATGAGATCTATCACATATAAAGTTTCAAGTCCATAACTTTTTAATACTTTCGGAGAAATGGCCTGGACAAAAATGAAGTATGAAAATAAACAAAGGGCCATAACTCAAAAATTAAGAAATGCAGAGTACCGATTCTTGTGCACTGCACTTCTTCTTAATGAGATCTATCATCCTATGAAGTTTCAAGTCCATAGCTTTTATTCTTAAGGAGAAATGGCCAGGACAAAATTAAAGTATGAAAATAAACAAAGGGCAATAACTAAAAAAATAAGAAATGCAGAGTAACTGTTCTTGTGCACTGCACTTCTTCTTAATGAGAGCTATCATCCTATGAAGTTTCAAGTCCATGGCTTTTATACATTAGGAGAAATAGCCCGGACAAAAATAAAGTATGAAAATTAACAAAGGGCAATAACTCAAAAATTAGGAAGTGCAGAGTACCGGTTCTTGTGCACTGCACTTCTTCTTAATGAGATCTATCATCCTATGAAGTTTCAAGTCCATAGCTTTTTTAGTTGAAGAGAAATGGCCCGGACAAAATTAAAGTATGAAAATTAACAAAGGGCAATAACTCAAAAAATAAGAACTGCAGAGTACCGGTCCTTGTGCACTGCACTCCGGGTTATTGAAAGAAGCATGCATACCAAGTTTGAAGTCAATCAGACTTAAAGTGACTGAGTTATGCTCCGGACAAGCTTTAGGGGACGCCGACGACGACGCCGCCGACACAGACGCCGCCGAAAAGTAACCCCTATATGTCACCTTTTCAAGACGACACAAAAAGGGGTCACAATTCTGCGAAAACAAGGTTAGTGTTATGGTCCTGTTATATGACCTTCTATTATACTCAAAGAAATGTGTGAAGTTTCAACCCATTCCCTTTAGTAGTTTTAAAGATACTTGCACGCAAAAAAATAACCAAAGTTTGATACCTGGGTGAGTACAATAGTCCTCGTATTCTTCAATTAGTCAGGCTAAAAAATGGTTGAAATATGCATGGTAACAATAAGTTGTATTACCATATAAACAAGAGCCCGGTTTGAGCTGGGTGATGCTCCCCAAATAGGTTTTGGACACAGAAAGTACACCTCTTGTAGTTTCAGAGTTATGTCCCTGGAAAAAGTTCAAAGTGCAATAATTCCAAAATTAGGCAAGGCAGAGTTACTGTTCTTTGCACGGCACTTCTAATCAATGTGATCTATCAACCTACAAAGTTTCTTGATGATGTCTCTTATGATTTCCGAGTAATGTCCCGGACAATTTCAAAAAGTAAAAATAAACAAAATGCAATAACTCCAGAATTAGGCAAGGCAGAGTTATGAATCTTGTGCACTGCACATCTACCCATTGAGATATATCTACCTACAAAGTTTCATGTTGATATCTCTTATAGTTTTACAGCTATGTCCTGGACAAGATTTTTCTAAATGGGGAGATAATTCAAAAATGAGGCTTAACAGAGTTATGGTTCTTTTGCACTGCACCTCTACTCAATGAGATCTATCTACCAACAATGTTTCATCTTGTTATCTCTTATAGTTTTAGAGTTATGTTCCGGACAAAGTTCAAAGTGTTAAAATAAACAAAGGGCAATAACTCCAAAATTAGGACAAAAAGAGTTATTGTTCTTATGCACTGCACATCTACCCATTGAGATCTATTCACCTACAAAGTTTCATGTTGATATCTCTTATAGTTTTAGAGTTATGCCCCGGACAAGATTTTTCTATAGGGGAGATAATTCAAAAACCGGGCAATATAGAGTTATGGTTCTTTGACACTGCACTCCCCCTCAATGCCCTCTACCACTGTATGAAGTTTCAACAAATTATCTCCAAGGGTTTTCAAGTTATGCTCCGGACAAGGCAACGGACGGACACACAGACAGACGGAAGGACGGACGGAAGGACGGACAAGGCGCGGACTATATGCTCCCCCGAAATTTTTCGGGGAGCATAAAAATTACATTTGTCAATTTGTATTACCTGTTTATTAAAGTAGAGAAAACCTTTGGGACAATTCACATTATGAAATGGAGCAAAACATGTGATGGCACCATCTAGTCCCATGGGATGTATCCTAAGGGACCCTCTCTGTGTCATAAACAACCAGTGTGGATATGGTCCACAAATAAATACCTGAAATAATACATACATGTTAACATACAGTCTGCAAAAAAAACTATAAGTAAGCAAAAAACATTTAATGTTAAAGAAATTAAATTCAGGCATTGTCTTAAATGAGTAACTCTGCAATGTTACTTCATTTTTATACAAAAGGGAAAGAATTGGCTTTACAATGAAATTGTCCACAACAGGAATAAAAGATAACATTTTCTTATGATTTTCAAAATAATCTGCTTGAGTCACACTTGATAAAAGAAAGGGAATGGAACATGATAAATTATAGCTATTGCCCTTATATGCTTTCTCACAAAAGTAAAATGTTTAAAATTAGTGCAAAAGGTATTCACTTTAAGAAACTATGCATTTAACTTATTCATAATGTAAAATATAATTGTAAACTATTGATCAAGGGTTTCATAAAATGACATATTACCAAATTTGTATTGTGTATATCAGAACAGAATAATTACTTATAAACCACAAACAGGCAAAAACATATTTTCACTGATGTTCTCATTACATATGTATCCATCTCAAAACATGATAAACAATATCAACAAGGAAAGGCGGCGTTCAATCAAGCCTATAATGTCTATAATAAATAAAATCTTATCAAGTACTTACTCCACTATAGCCTGAAATATCATCAAAGTACCAGAACCACTGTCCTTGATCAGTTTTAAATTCATCAAATTCATCTAAGATCTCTTCGCCTCTCTTTCGGAACTTTACCTTACGTTCCTTCAGAATCAAATTATGCTGGACTTTCTTAAATCGTATTTTAAGGTGATTGTCTTCCTTTGACTGATAATACGGGAATGCTTCATAGATCAATAAACCATCTTCTACCCTGGCCTGAAAATAAATCACATTACAAAACCCATGAAGATCATATAATATACCTTGAGACAAGCCTTTGTAGACCGGACCATTTTACTATATTTATGACAACAAGTGACGAAATTTTATTCATACCATAAGAAGAATAACAGCTTTAATAGCATGTTGGTGGCAACTGAATCTACCCATGTGACCAGTGCAGATCAATGTTACCTTGTATATCATGATAAATGATTTAGTTCATATTGCCCATGTGACCAGTGCAGACCAACTTAAGCTGGCACATCATGATAAATGGTTACGTTCATATCACCCATGTGACCAGTGCAGACCAACTTAAGCTGGCACATCGTGAGGAATGGTGTAGTTCATATTGCCCATGTGACCAAGGCAGACCAACTTAAGCTGGTACATAATGATAAATGGTTTAGTTCATATCACCCATGTGACCAGTGCAGATCAATGTTAGCTGGCACATAATGATAAATGGTTTAGTTCATATTGCCCATGTGACCAGTTCAAACCAACTTAAGCTGGTACATAATGATAAATGGTTTAGTTCATATCACCCATGTGACCAGTGCAGATCAATGTTAGCTGGCACATAATGATAAATGGTTAAGTCCATATTGCCCATGTGACCAGTGCAGACCAACTTAAGCTGGCATATCATGATAAATGGTTTAGTTCATATCACCCATGTGACCAGTGCAGATCAATGTTAGCTGGCACATAATGATAAATGGTTTAGTTCATATTGCCCATGTGACCAGTTCAAACCAACTTAAGCTGGCACATCATGATAAATGGTTTAGTTCATATCACCCATGTGACCAGTGCAGATCAATGTTACCTGGCATATCATGATAAACGATTAAGTCCATATTGCCAGATGAACAGGTCCATTTAAGAGTATGGTAAGGGGGTGCCTGAGTAGAACCACCTAAGTTCCATCAGATGGCTGGATAGCTTCCTCACATAAAAGAAAACAAAGTCCTGGCGGGATTTAAATCTACAGCAATTAGAGACAAGTGGTTTGAAGTCAACAACCTTAACCACTTGCCCACTGATACCCCTAATAATGTTGTTTACAAATCATGCTTCTCTACATACATGGTCTGATAACTGCACGACTAACAATTTTTCTCTACAATAAAATACATTTATCATCTTACCAGCAGGTATGGTCTAGATTTCCGCTGTCCTAATCCAACAAGTAACACCTCATGTATATTATACATGCTATCAGTAACTGTCTTGTCTTGACTCAACCCAGACCTGAAAGTAGATATACATATAAAATTATGTGCATTATATCTTTCATAAAAAATTCATAAAAATTTCATACAACAACTGAGAATATTTTATATATCCGACGTACACAGCTGCTGCTAAATTTTATTTTTAAACAAAGAATATTGTTTTTATTTATGTCGCCTAGTAACTTTATAATTATATATAATTTATAAAAGAATGTTATCGAATAAGTAGATATCTCACCCAGATTTGCTGGCACTTATTTCTTTCAAACTTCCTGTGTCAACCAATACTTTCTGGCCAATGGGGAACGTCTTCACATAGTATGCTATCTTAAAGTCTGGTAAACTCAATATCTGAAATATTTCATTATTTGTGATGACTTCTTGTGAATAAAAAAATACTTTGTCAAGGTGTTAAAATTTCTATAACTATTTTTACTGAGATATAAACTGTTGATACTATAAAGACATAACAATCTTTTACTCAAAATACATAACAATCTTTTACACAACAGACATAACAATCTCTTCCACAAAAGACATAACAGTCTCTTCCACAAAAGACATAACAATCTTTTACACAAAAGACGTAAGTCTCTTTCACAAAAGACATAACAATTTCTTACACAAAAGACATAACAATCTCTTACACAAAGAACATAACAATCTCTTACACAAAGAACATAACAATCTCTTACACAATAGACATAACAATATCTTACACAAAAGACATAACAATCTCTTACACAAAAGACATAATCTCTTACACAAAAGACATAACAATCTCTTACATAAAAGACATAACAGTCTCTTGGGTGGTGTCATCTAGATTTTGACAAATTCAAGTACATTATCATTTTTCATTGGATATATAATTTTTCATTCATATTTAATTTCATGTATTGTTTGCCATATTTCAATTCAAATGAATGGAGAATTGTGTGTTTGTTTGGATTCATTTAAAACTTTAAAATGCCTAAGAAAAGAAGCATTAAGCTTCTAAGGAAAAGAAACTGTCATAAAATATTGATTTGTTTATGCATGCCTGATCCTATCATATTTAATTTAAAATCCTATCACATTTATATTTTAACAAATACAAACTTCTAAAGATCCATTTTCTCGTGCAACAGCTACCCAATATGACATCTTCAATTCCTTCTTCCGAGACTTCTTGCTATTATATAAAATAAACAATCAATATATTCAATAAGTGTACAGTTCCCTGCTTAAGGAAACAGTGGTTGCCTTTATTAAGGTTTGAACCCACACAGCCAGCAATACTTGGACTGCTAGTTATTCATGTACGCCATGCCAAAACACAAAAAAAAACACAATTTAAGCAAGGCAAATAAGTTTTTTCTTCTTATTTCTTTGTTTCACAGTGTATGATGCGATTTATTTTATATACATGTATAAGTTTTCTAATTTGGAACCCTACAGTCCTAAATGATCATTACATACAATATAATTATATATTCATAAACTATTAATACCTAACACATCACTTATATACATGTACTTAAATTCAAACTTAATTTTGATAATAACTAGAACATCCGTGAATATGATTCATACCCCTACCAATGTCCTTGACAGAAGACGACTTGGAAAGGTGGTTAAGAGAATATCTTTAGTGGCACAAATAAATATAAACATAAAAAGAAATTATCTCTGGTGAAAAAAAGACTAATTGTACAGGTAATAGTATAAATGTATATTGTCAAATCATGTTTGAAACATTTACAAATAACCTTTCATTTTCCCAATGTACTAAACATTTTCTAAGTCAATTTTTGACCTTCAAGTGTGGCCTTGACCTTAAGCTGGCACAAGGGTAAGATGGATTCTGCACATTGCCCAGTTGGGGTGAACATTTGAGTAAAGTTTGAAGAAAATCCTTCCATTAGTATAGAATTTATAGAGCGGACACAACATATTGTCTAGTATTGATTGTATGTAAATTTAAAGACTTAAAAAGGGGCATAACTTTGTCAAAATGCAATACAGAGTTATGAAACTTGACCTGCATATCTTATTTGTGACACCTCATATATCTTTTAAGTTTCAAGCAAATACCTGTGCTAGTTTCAGAAATATTCAAGTACATGTTAAAATTTAAGAACATTTTCTAAGTCAATTTTTGACCTTCAAGTGTGACCTTGACCTTAAGCCGGCACAAAGGTAACATGGGTTCTGCACATAACCTTGTTGAGGTGAACATTTGAGTAAAGTTTGAAGAAAATTCTTCCATTAGTATAGGATTTATAGAGCGGACACGACATATTGTCTAATATTTGATTGTATGTAAATTTGAAGACTTAAAAAGGGGCATAACTTTGTCAAAATGCAATACAGAGTTATGAAACTTGACCTGCATATCTTAATTGTGACACTTCATATATATTTTAAGTTTCAAGCAAATACCTTTTCTAGTTTCAGAAATATTCAAATACATGTTAAAATTTAAGAATATTTTCTAAGTCAATTTTTGACCTTCAAGTGTGACCTTGACCTTAAGCCGGCAAAAGGGTAACATGGGTTCTGCACATTACCTTGTTGAGGTGAACATTTGAGCCAAGATTGAAGAAAATCTTTCAATTAGTGTAGGACTTACAGAGCGGACACGACATACTGTCTAATATTTGATTGTTTGATATTTGACCTTCAATTGTGACCTTGACCTTGAGCTGACACATGGGCAACATGGGTTCTGCACATCCCCTTGTTGAGGTGAACATTTGAGCCAAGTTTGAAGAAAATCCTTCAATTGGTATAGGATTTATAGAGCGGACACGATAATGGAGATGGCCAGACGGAACTCCCCGCCCCCTCCCCCCCCGAACATTTTGTGGTGGGAGTATAATAATATAATAATTCTACTAAGGCTAGATTTCAAAATGACTAACCATGCCAACAGTATAGACTCAGGCCAGCCTGATCTATTTTCATACATCCTGGTCAGGCTCTAATCTCTTGGCTACTATTTTAATACAGCTATCCCTTTAACTTATTATTAGACAACTATAACAACATATTAAGTAGTAAGCATACCTAGATTTTGTTTCCTCTTTCATACTGATATTAGCAGATGTATCAAGGTTAGACGTATCTTCATCTCCGTATAGTAACTCATCCTCATCATCAACAGTACTGGAAATATATATAGATACAGTTAAACCTGTGAACAAAGGTCAACAAATGGAGAGACAACTAATGGTCTTTATAGACAAGTGGTCTTTATTTGGAGGTTACTTTATTCCATTTTACCAATGTATGGTTGCCAAAAAGTGGCCTTTATCTACATGGTTGACTTTATTCAGAGTTGGTCTTTAACATAGGTTTGACTGTCCAAATGGTTCAAGGTCAGGGGTATTAGTTATCTCAAATAAACATTACCCTCAGCCAGACTAAACTCCACTGTTCACTACTCAATGTAAAAAATTTACAAATGTATTCTTGAAAGGCCCATTATACACTTCAATTGTTTTATTTTTATTTCTTGAGAGCTTTTAAGTTTTGGTGTCATATTATAGCTCCGAAAAAATTACCTGAACCATATTTTCCTTCTGTTGCTTTCCAGCAATTAGTTCATATAAAGTGGTTTATTATTGTGTATGGACATTTTGTTACTTAATTTTATGACATTCAGTGCTACTTTCTGACCATAATGTCACTTTAACCCTGGGGCTTTTATTTGAACAAATTTGGTAGACAGACACCAGAAGATGTTTCATGCTTAATATCTAAGCTCTAACTCTTTGGGCTTTTAAAAGAAGTTTTTTTTAAAGTTTTTACATATAAGGAAAAGCAATGACCCCCGGGGTGGGGCCAATTTTGACCCCAGGGCTTTCATTTGAACAAACTTGGTAGACACTGATCAGACAATGTTTCATGCCAAATATTTAAGCTCTAGCTCTTTTGGATTTTTAAAAGAAGATTTTTTAAGTTTTTACTATATACATATAAGGAAAAGCAATGACCACCTGGGGCAGGGCCATTTTTGACCCTAGAGCAAACTTGATAGACACTCACTAGAAGACGTTTCATGCCAAATATCTTAGCTCTAGGTCTTTTGGTTTTTTAAAAGAAAATATTTTAAGTTTTTTCTTTCGGTTGCCATGACAACCAGAGTTCTGCATGGAATTAAAGTCTTTGAAGGTGACCACCAATGGACCATTCCTGTGAAGTTTGGATGAAATTGGCTTAGCGGTTTATGAGGAGATGTCGTTTAAAGTAAAAGTTTACGGACAACGGACCGACAACGGACAAAAAGTGATCACAAAAGCTCACCATGTCACTTTGTGACGGTGAGCTAATAAAAAACTAGGTTACAGTTCATCTAAAGAATTTCGCTAGCTGAAATTTACAAGAAAATTAAATTCAGTCAAAACCATGGTGCCAAAATTAACTGAAATCCTTGAGTCAAAATCTTATTTCTGACAATTTCAGAGCATTTATGTCATTCGTGAATAGCCTTTCACATTTTCAATTTTATGGCTGCAATATCAACAAGTGACAGATGTTTGTTTGGCGTAAGAAGGGTTCCTATCTAATGCCTTTATTTATTAATTATACTAAAAATTCACACAGTCATATCACAAAAATTCTCATTTTTAAACATAATCACTAAATGTACCTCTTAAATGATTATATAAATTGAAAATTGTTTCATGACAGGCTATATGTCACTCTGGCATTGTTAAGGTTAAATATGAACATCAGGTATTTGTATCTTATAACACTTGTATGTTTTGACTATGAAAGTCAATGGTTTTCCTCAATCTTCGGCTTCCTTATTAATAACTGAACAATGGGCAAGAAGAAAACTTCAAATTAGCATTGGGAATATAAAATCTGTTGAAAATAAAATTAAAAAGTTTCTGCCATTCAACAGTATTGAATGGATTTAACATAAATCATTTATCGTTGATACATAAAGAAGTAAATAGCAAATAAACTTGAAAGATTCAATGGTGTCATTTTTCATTATGTGGTTGTCTGAAGTATTTGTAAGGGACAAAAAAAAGATTTCAAAAATAAAAAATTTCTGCCATTGAATTATTGAACGGATTTAACTTGAAACATTTATTATCAATACATAAAGACATTATTAGCAGATACACTTGAAAGATTCAGTGGTGTCATTTTTCATAACATGGTTAAGTATTGATTATGCACAATGAAGTTAAAATCATAAAGTTTATTTTATAAAACATTGCTGTGTTTGTAGCAACCGTCAGTAGAGATATGGCAGGGAAAGAGGATACAACACCTGGGATTACTGAGTCTGAGGAGTATATTAACTGTACTATATGCTCTGAAGCAGAGAGGACAACTGTGGCCCTCAAATATTGTGTGGACTGTACAACATATGTTTGTCAGGACTGTTTAAATGACCACAACAAGTTTGCAGCATTACGTAAACATCAGATTGTGGAGATCACAGAAGTTAATGAGCTTCTAGGTGACACAGATCAAGTCCAGGGAAAAAGATCAGTGGAATGTGGAAGTCATTATGAACAATACATTGACGGATATTGCAAAAACCATGATGAAGTGTGCTGCAGTGTTTGTGTGGCAATTAAACACAGGTTTGTTAATTTTCTCTGTTTGATAAATATCATGATTAAGACAAACACAGATTTGAAAGCTGCATTCCTCCAGTTGAGCCAAAATGTTTCAAGAAAATCAAAGTTATTTGTTTTTTAAGAAGAGTAAAATGATTAAAGTAATCATTTACATGTTATGTGCCATTAATAACTGAGTTTGCAGGATTTATAAAAATATTTCTACTAAGTTACTAACACAGTAGGGGCTATTTTTGCATTATATTGACCATTTTTGATAACTTAAATGGACTGTAAGGTTTGTTTTGTAATTTGTTAATTATTTTCTTTGTTCACATCACAATATTTTACTTTGAAATACAATTTTGACATGTTTGATAAATATTACAAAACAATATTTAACAAAGATATTGCTTGTACTCTGCATCAGCTTTAATATGAACAAGAAATGTCAAAACAATACATACCCCCCCCCCCTTTCTTGCCTTTAATGGATAGTAAGAATAAGACACCATTATGATAGACACATAAAAAAGGATAATGTACTGAAAAAAGTCCTAATAATCATTAAAAACAAGAGGGTGTTTGTTAAACACAAGTATAAAAATTTCCTTTTCTGGATCATGGTTATAGTTAAATTAAATGTTGACCAAATAGAAACAGATACTACTATAAACCTACTAACAGTAAACAATATCTTTTATTTAACTCTTGGCATCCGAAACACAGGAAACAAAACATCCCATTCTGGCATTTTCACTAGCTAAACGTCTTTGTACAATTATATCAAACAAGGCAGTCTGAATGACAGCTAAATCCCCTTCCGCAGTGGACATGAATGTTGATCTCTGCAGATTGTGTCATGGTGGGGATCATTTGTGCCAAGTGATTTTAAAATCTTTGACAGGAAATGTAGACTTTTTATTATGAAATGAAGACTTTTAAATTTTGACCTTTAAGTATGACCTTGACATTTGGGGTAGCAACCCAATTATTGCGATCTGCAAATTGTCTCATTATGGTGATGACTTGGTCCAAGTTATTTCAAAAAAAAATCAGCGGTTAAAAAAGTTATGGAGCGGACACGAAATGTAGACTTTTTAACATTTGACCTTTAAGTGTGACAGTAGTATAGAATATGATGGTTCCGGGACACTTTGAAGCCTAAAAAAGTGTTTATCTATCAAACCAAAGGGTAAGACAGCTCGACATAGCTTACCTATCAACCCAAAAAAGTAAGGACAGCTCGACATAAAACCCATTTTTATT